CAGTAGAACATGCAGCTCAGTAGAACATGCAGCTATTCAGTAGAACATGCAGACTGTCAGTAGAACATGCAGCTGGTCAGTAGAACATGCAGCTGTCAGAGACATGCAGCTATCAGCAGAACATGCAGCTATTCAGTAGAACATGCAGCTATTCAGTCAGAGACATGCAGACTGTCAGCAGAAATGCAGACTGTCAGCAGAACATGCAGCTCAGTAGAACATGCAGCTGTCAGCAGAATATGCAGCTATTCAGTAGAACATGCAGCTGGTCAGTACATACACAGTATTAGAACACACAGGCGGACAGTAGAACATGCAGCTATTCAGTAGAACATGCAGACGGTCAGTAGAACATGCAGACGGTCAGTAGAACATGCAGCTAGCATCAGTCAGTAGAACATGCAGCTGCAGCAGAACATGCAGCTATTCAGTAGAACATGCAGCTATTCAGTAGAAATGCAGCTGTCAGCAGAACATGCAGCTGTTCAGTAGAACATGCAGCTGGTCAGTACATACACAGTCATTAGAACACACAGGCGGACAGTAGAACATGCAGCTGTTCAGTAGAACATGCAGCTGTTCAGTAGAACATGCAGCTGTTAAGTAGAACATGCAATTTACACACACAAAAAAAGACCAGAATTATAGAGAAATAAACAGAAATGCAATAAATCATGTCGTTTACTTTATGGATCTTACAGATGAACTTTAACCATGGGATTGTTTGTCTCTGTGTGTATTTGTGTTTATATCCAAAATAATTAAATAGGTTTTCTTTCCTACACTCATAAAGACGAGTTTTATTTATTTATTTCTCTGTAAATAGTTCTTCCGTCTTGTCTCGTATTTTATATATTAATAGGTTTTGGCAAAATAAGTGTTAAAACTCCAGCCTGAACCTCGTCGATCTGCAGAATAATTTTAGTGTTTTGCTAAATTTCTGTGTTAAATCATTGTGATGTGATGAATGACGATGATAAACAGCGAAAAAAATAAAAATAAAATAAAGAGAGGCTAGAACCATGCAGGTGTACAGAGCAACACAAGCACAGGAGAGAGCACATACAGGCGCTCGGTAGACACACACACACACACACACACACACACACACACACAGACACACACACACACAGACACACACACAGACGCACACACACACAGACACACACACACAGACGCACACTCAGACTGCTGACGATAGTGGAGTGACATTTGGAATCAGCAGGTATAAAATGGAGCGGCTGCAATTTAGAAAGTGTCAGATTTAATGGAACAGAGTCTGGATCACTTGGCGCAAAACACGAGGACGGAGGAGCCGCCGCACCTCACATTTTCATTTTAAAGCCCCAGTGCGTAACTTCTTATGCAACAAAATAAAAGCTGGATGTTTTGTCGCGCTGAAAAACTTAGAAAAACACAAACTCCACGCGCTCGTTTTCATGGAATCAAAGTGACAAAAGGGAAAGGTGTCTTGTTTATCTCATGATTGACGATGAAATGTTAAGACATGTTTTGTACAATTTCTAATCTTTCCGGACTGTATTTTTCAGATTATAAGACGCACTTAAAATCCTTCAATTTCCTCAAAAATTGACAATGTGCCTTATGTATTAATTCTGGTTGTGTTTACTGACCTCAAACCGATTTTATGTGGTACACGCTGCTCAAAAATCTGTCAAAATGTTTTAGTATGACTTTGGTAAACTACAAAACTGCACCGTCTGATTGATTATCGGAGCATTACGGCGACTGTAGTCAGGAGCCTTGTAGAGTTCGTCCGAAAGAAGCTGGAGAAGGAGCGAACAGTTTTTCAGCGCTTATAGTTAATGCAAATGAGCCATGCGGTTTTAAGTTTTGCTTCTGTAAAATGTAAACAAATGTGCACAAAGCTGCATTAAACACATTATTACTCAGTGTATATTTGAGTCGTCCTTGTAGGAAATTTAAAAAAAAGTAAATTATCCAAGACAGGGATTCGACACCGGGCGAATTACGCCACGATCTGCCGATGGATCGTGGACGCCTGGACTAAGGATCAGACTCAAGTGTCGTCCGTTTGTTTTGCCTAATGCTCCTTATAATCTGAAAAATAGGGTGATTATTTTGTTGACTATTTTGTTCCAATATTGCTGGTCCAACTGAATGAAAAGGAAAAAGAAATGGGCTACTGTGCAATAACGGTCAAATCCATCTTTATTTTGTGATTTACGAATAATGTCTATGGACTTGGGTCGCGAAGGTTTAAGGACATGACAGCAGTGTGCACTACTCACAGAGTAAACGAGACGGGGCACTGACGGGGACGTGTGTGTGTGTGCGTTCGTGTGTGTGCAGGTGATCGCGGAGGAGACGGCCGTGCGTCTGGAGCTGCAGATGGCGCTCGACTCCAAGGACAGTGACATCGAGCAGCTCCGGTGTCAGATCTCCTCCCTCAGCGTCCACTCCATGGACTCGACCAGCAGCAGCACCGACCTGGACACCACCGCCGACGGATACCCAGGTACGGAAAACAAACACACCTGTAAAAGACGGATATCCAAGTACAGAAAACAAACACACCTATAAAAGACAGGAGTGTCCAGGTACAGAAAACAAACACATCTATAACACAAAGGAGTGTCCAGGTATTTAAAACAAACACACCTGTAAAAGACGGATATCCAAGTACAGAAAACAAACACACCTATAAAACACAGGAGTGTCCAGGTATAAAAACAAACACATTTATAATACAGGAGTGTCCAGGTATAGAAAACAAACACACCACCACCGATGGATATCCAGGTGTAGAAAACAAACACACCTATAACAGACAGGAGTGTCCAGGTACAGAAAACAAACACACCACCACAGACTGATACCCAGGTATGGAAAATAAACACACCAATAATGAGACGGATATCCAGGTGTAGAAAACAAACACACCTATAACAGATGGATATTCAGGTGTAGAAAACAAACACACCTATAACAGATGGATATCCAGGTGTAGAAAACAAACACACCTATAACAGATGGATATCCAGGTATAGAAAACAAACACACCTATAACATAAAGGAGTGTCCAGGTATAGAAAAAACAAACACACCACCGCAGACTGATATCCAGGTACGGAAAACAAACACACCTATAACAGACAGGAGTGTCCAGGTATAGAAAATAAACACATCTATAACACAGAGGAGTGTCCAGGTGTAGAAAACAAACACAATAACACGCAGGAGTGTACAGGTATAGAAAACAAACACACCACCACAGATGGATATTCAAGTATAGAAAACAAACACAATAATAACACATAGGAGTGTCCAGGTACAGAAAACAAGCACAACTTTTACCTAGAGGAGTGTCCAGGTATAGAAAACAAACACATTGCCTCCTGCGGATACCCAGGTATGGAAAATAAACACACCTATAACAGACAGGAGGCTCCAGGTATAAAAAAAAACAAACCACAACTTTTACCCAGAGGAGTGTCCAGGTATAAAAAACAAACACAACTTTTACCCAGAGGAGTGTCCAGGTGTAGAAATCAAACACACCACTGCAGACAGATATCCAGGTATATAAATGACACAAGTATAACACAGAGGAGTGTCCAGGTATAAAGAACAAACACACCACTGCAGACAGATATCCAGGTATAGAAAACAAACGCACCTATAACAGACGGATATCCAGGTACAGAAAACAAACTACTATAAAACACAGAGGAGTGTCCAGGTGTGGAAAACAAACACACCACCGCAGACAGATATCCAGGTACAGAAAACAAACATACCTATAAAAGATGGATATCCAGGTATAGAAAACAAACACATCACCACAGAGAGATACCGAGTCATAGAAAACACAGTGTCCAGGTGTAGAAAACAAACACACCACCACACACGGATATCAAAGTATAAAAAAAACCCCACATAGGAGTGTCCAGGTATAAAGAACAAACACACCACTGCAGACAGATATCCAGGTATAGAAAACAAACATACCTATAAAAGACAGATATCCTGGTATAGAAAACAAACACATCTATAACAGACGGATATCCAGGTATAGAAAACAAACACATCACCACAGAGAGATACCGAGTCATAGAAAACACAGTGTCCAGGTATAGAAAACAAACACACCTATAAAAGACGGATATCCAGGTATAGAAAACAAACCACTATAAAACACAGAGGAGTGTCCAGGTATAAAGAACAAACACACCACCGCAGACACGGATATCCAGGCATATAAATCTAACATACATCTGATCTAACTGGACACCACTGAGGGAGACCCAGGTATAGAAAACAAACCACTACAACACAGAGGAGCGTCCAGGTGTGTGAATCCAACGCACCATGTAGATGTAGAGCTCCTCCAGCCGGGTGCTCCTCACCACCTCGAGGTCTGGTTCCGGGTCCGTGGGTCAACGTTAAAGTCTTACATTAAAATAAAAAAAATAAAAAATAAAAAACAGACACAGACGCAGAGAAAGAGAAAATGCGAGCGGTGACATTTGCGGCGGATGATTTCTCCCGAGCGGCAGATGGAGGATAATGAGTCGTTACAAAAGAGCCGCTCGTGTAAAGCAAACGGAGCACAGGCACAAAAGGAGGAACAAACGGGGCCGGAGGTTTAACGACGCCTCCTGTTCTGTGCCTGTCTGAATAAAACCTGGGAGGGCATCAGGTGTAAACAAGTATTTTTAATGGACAACGGGTGATGAAACACTTCAGCTTTAATTCTGAATAAAAATAGAAAAAAAAAAGGAAAAAAAACAAACTTTATTTTAGATTTTCACGTTCCACTGTGAAAGTCCCACAAATGTTCTTTCTTCACTTTTCTCTTTATTTTTTTTATTTTTTTTTTTACTGTTGCAGTTCTTTATCTTCTCATCACTTGTTCTTCCTGCTCTTTCTCCTCTTCCTCCTTCCACCTTTTTGTCTCTCTCCTCTTCTTTCTTCTCTTCTTCTTCTCCATCCTCTCCTCCTCTCTCCACTTCCTCCCCTCTCCCTCTTTCTTCCTCTCTTCCTCTCTTCCTCTCCCTCCTCCTCTCTCTCTCACTCCTCTGTCCCTTGTCCTAATCTCCTCCTCTCCTTCTTTCCTCATCCACACTCCGCTCTTTCTCCTTTGCGCCTCCTCTCATCCCCCCTTACCTCCTTTCCTCCCTCCCTCCTCCTCCTCTTGTTCCTCTTCTCCTTCTTCTCCTCCTCTCCTCTCTTCCTTGTGTCCTTTTCCTCCTCCCTCTCCTCTTCCTCTCCTCCTCATCACCTCCTCTTGTCCCTCTCCTCTTCTCTCCTCCTCCTCCTCTCTCGTTCCTTGTCCTCTCCTCCTCCTTTCTTCCGCCTCCTCCTCTCTCTTCCTCGTCTCCTCTCCTCCTCCTCTTCCTCTTCTCCTCCTCTTCTTCTTCTCCTCCTTCTCTCTCCTCTCTCTTCTCTCCTTTTCTCTTCACCTCTCCTCCTCTTGTCCTCCTCCTCTCCTCTCTTCCTCCTTCTCCCCTCCTCCTCCTTCCTCCTCCTCTTCTCCTTCTCTTCCTTGTCTCCACTTCCTCTCCTCCTCTTCTCTCCTTCTCCTCTCCTCCTTTTCCTCCTCCTTCTCTCCTCCTCCTCCTCTTCCCCCTCTTCCTTCTCTACTCTCCTCCTTCCTCTTCCTCCTCCTTTCTCCTCTCCTCTTCCTCCTCCTTCCTCCTCCTCCTCTTCCTCCTCCTCTCCTCTCCTCCTCCTCCTCCTCTCCTCCTCTCTCTCTCTTCTCCTCGTCTCTCCTCTCCTCCTCCTCTCCTCTTCTTCTCCTCCTCTCCTCCTCTTTTCCTCCTCCCCTCCTCTCCTCCTCTTCCTCCTCTACTCCTCTTCTCTCCTTTTCCCTCTTCTCCTTTTCCTCTCTCCTCCTTCTACTCCCTCCTCTCTCCTCCTCTTCTCCATCCTTTCTCTCTCTTCCTCTCTCCTCTCCTCCTCCTTTACCTCCTCTTCTCCTCCTCTCCTCTTCCTCTCCTCTCTCCTCCTCCTTCTTCCTCCTCTTCTCCTCCTTCTACTCTCCTCTCATCCTCCTCTCGTCCTCCTTTCCTCCTCTCCTCCTTTCCTCTGCTCTACCTCCTCTTCTCCTTCTCCTCTCCTCCTCTCCTCCTCTCTCCTCGCCTCCTCTCCTCCCCTCCTCCACTCGTCCTCCCTCCTCCTCTCCTCTCCTCTCCTTATCTTCGTCTCCTCCTCCTCTCCTCTTCCTCTCTTCCTCCTCCTCTTCTCCTCTCCTCCTCCTTTACTCCTCTCCTCCTCCTCTTCCTCTCCTCCTCCTCCTCTTCCTCCTCTTCCTCTCCTCCTCTTCCTCCTCTCCTCTTCCTCCTCCTCCTCTCCTCTCCTCCTCCTCCTCTTCTTCCTCTCTTCCACCTCTTCCTCCTCCTTCTCTTCTCCTCCTCTTCCTCTCTCCTCCTCCTTCCTCTTCTCCTCCTCTTCCTCTCCTCCTCCTCTTCCTCTTCTCCTCTTCTTCCTCCTCCTTCTCTCCTCCTCCTCTTCTTCTCCTCTTCTTCTTCTCTTCCTCCTTTAGTGCGCATCACTCAGTCGCACACGTCCGAGTCGATGTTCCTGTACAAACGCACACATAAGTCCGTGCGCATAGACACTCGCCCGGACCTGCGCCCGGACCCGCGCCCGGACCTGCGCCCGGACCTGCGCCCGGACCCGCCGCCCCGACTCCGCCCCCTCGGCTCGCTCCTCCGCTCCGACTCCGAGTCCGACGGCGGCGGCGAGGACGAGGAGGAGCGGGAGGAGGAGGAGGACGAGGAGGAGGAAGGGCGGAGACGGCGCCGCCCCCTCGCTCTCCCCTACCACCAGCCCCCCCTTCAGAGCCCAGAGGAGTTTGACCCGGAAGGTGACGAGCACGAAGTGAAGAGCACGAAGCATGAAGTGTGCTGTGGACACGCCCATGAAAACGCTTGGTTAAGGCCTTTACATGCATCACGAATGTCCGACTTCAGGTCATCGCGCAATCCACACTGGGAAGGATCCTCCGAAAAAGTGAACATCAAACCTCCATGTTTGTTTTCCCAGTGGGATGCGTCTATTGCCAAAGTCGATCTTTTCAAGTCTTTTGAACCATATCACTTTTGTTTCTGGTTCTGATATTGTCATGTTTTAGTTTTGGGATTCGGACATCGTTAATTGCGTGGGTTGTTGGATCCTAACAGCGGAAAACGGGCTTTGGAAGTTTGCGAACTCCATAACTGTGTGACTCAAACCTCCGTTCAAACTGTTTCTCTTCCCAACGGAATTGAAACATAGTGAAAGGTGAAGGTGATGGGCAGGATTGATCCACAGGAAGAACTAAAAAGGAAAAGTTTGTCTGACTAAGAAATCATCCCGAGTTTACAGAGAACATTTTGTATGTGGAGCGACAACAAAACAAAATCCCGATGAATTTAAAAAGTCAACGCCAAAGCGAAAAGCACCAACTGTTCACCAAGAAACACCTTCCACTGCAGAGAGACCAAGACGTGATGTTGCCGTAAAACCACAAGA